TCCAGGTGACATGATTGCGGCAGGCTGCTGAACGCTCGCAAGAAGGATTCCGACGTTGTTGGCCGTCGAGGGGCTCTCTTGGAGAGATAAGGATAAATAGTAGAGCGCTAAGATGTCACCAACACCAGTAGGTTTCCGCATTAGTCCATTAGACGATGTGCCGGATGACATGGCATCCTGAAAGATCTTGGCGAGGGAGAGGAGCGAGTTGCTTGTGGTTTGGACGGCTGCCCTTTTCGGACCACCTTCTGGCACAAATCGAAGCCCTGGAAGTTCGCCGTTTCCAGAGAATACCAATTTTGCAGTACATCTCGCCTTCTCAGGAGGTAGCAGCAATGGTCGTACAGGGGTCGCCGTTCCAGATACATTCCGTAGCCCACTACCGGGAGAAAGTACCTGCTGGATTTGTCGCACAAGTGTCTGAATTGAGGATGTGCGCCTTCCCGTGCTGATTAGGACTGCTTCTTCGAAGGCTTTGGATGCCCCTGGAATGTCCTTCATGCTATACAACATTGTCCCCTTGGCGTGGACAAGGGCGAGAATACGACCGTTCTCACTCCCTGGAATCGCGTATCCGCTTGAGCCAAAGCCGGGCTGCGGAAGATTCTCATCTAAGACAGCTGCAAGTGATGTAGCGGCAGCGGACCCGACAGACTCGGACTGGCTTGTTGGAAGCTGTAGAGCCTTCTGGACGAAACTGATTACTTCGACGGCGTCAAGGCTCTTCTTCTTGTAGAGAAGGCCGACCAGATGCTCAACTGCCTCCAAATACTGCGGTCTAGCTTTGATAGCCTTCAGCCAGTATTCCTCAGCCTCCTCCTGTCGATTCAGACAATAGAATGTGGCCGCCAAGTTTGAGATCGCTTCCACGTGGCTACGATAAAGAAGTTAGCAAAACGGCGTTCACGCACATGTAGTCGGCCGTGATGATTTTGCAGGGAGTTGACTTACTCGGAGTCCAGGGAAATGATCCGATTAAACCATTCCATGGCCTCTTCAAAGTGTTCCAGGCCATAGTGAAGACATCCTCCGAGCAAGACGCCGTCAATCCATTTCCATCCGCTTTGCTCGCACAAGTGAGTGAGTATTTCTAACGAACTTTTCGCATTCGCAAGTGGCGAGTTTCGCCCGAACTGGCTGGGAAAAGCTGACCAGGTGGGTTTGTGACTGAAAACATGTTCTCTCTCAAATCCGGCTGGTTGCCATCCCATATATTAGGACGTGAAGGGAGTTGTGTCTCGCTCCCAGATGGCCCGAGGAACAAGCCACTCGGGTTCGCTTTTATTTGTGGTTTGTGCGACGCGAGCATGTCTCTCTGGTAAAAAGAGATTGGGGCTGTTGTAGCTGCTGGTTGCTTCGGGGGTTTGGGGTACACAACCATCCTCGACATCGTGCTCAGCGCTGATCCGGGACGCAGTTGCTGCGTCTTGCGACCATGGTGAAGATATGTAAGCAAATCGACATAGCTCCGATGAGCTTGAGCGAGCGCCTTTTCCCTGAAGCCACATGGGGATGCTTCGGCCTCACTTTCCAGACCAATGACGCCGCCAACGTTGGATTCTAATGCCAAAGCTTCCAGATTGAACTGTGCGGGCTGAAGAAAGCCTGGTCCGTACGCGTTGCGCACATAAGCATGCGGCGGAGTGAAGTGGGCGGACGGACGAAGAAATGGGTTCGAGAGCTGACATAACCGGTAGTCATACGTGGATGGAGATGGCGTGTGGAAGGAAGGCGGGCCAACGTAGCTGGGTTGCTGAGGCGGAGGAAACCAAGGGTTCGCCGACTGGAGAAGCCCCGGGACAAAACTTGGAGTGGCATGGTCCGTAGGAAGGGCTGCAGGAAAGAAAGGGTTGGCATTATACGCGGTCGACCGAGGACGCGATAGCGCAGCAGACCCAAGAATTTGGGACGTGTCGGGAGAATTAAACCTATATTGTAACGTGCCTGGGGCATGAGAACTCGCAGAACATACGCCTGGCAAAGGCTGAGCCGACATGTCCAATCCCAGAGCCCATGATTGGTATGCGTTCACGCTCTCGGCAGCTGCGTCATGGATCACGGGCACGGAAACGCGAGGTTTTGTGCCCGGAATCAGTCTGGAGCGGAGGTTTGGATCCGTGACGGTGACTGGGCGAAGGTGATTTGCGGCGTAGGCAGTAGGCGCGGCTGGGAGTATCATCTGTTTCAGGGGCGGAGGCCCCGAGGCTAGATGTACAGCAGAGCCATCGTAACCCGCATCGATTGTGCCGTTCGGTGTCTTGCGTCGCAAATGATGTTCTGATCGATCGGGGAAATGTGACACTTCGGCCACATTTGCAACCCCACGTTGCCGATGAAGCTGCTGTTGATGTGAGGTACGAATGGGGAAAGATCTCGGGATCTTGCCATCGGGAAACGGGACGTTCGGAGATTCGGCAGGCGGGCCGCTTAGAGGGTGATCATAGGTATACGCTTGCTGATGAGGAAAGGGCAGTTGATTCTGTTGTACGTGCAGGTGATCCTGTTGCTGCTGGAACGTCGGAAGAGGGTCGAAATTCGGTGGCGGCTGCACCATGTGGTGCATCTGGACTAGAGGCAACATGAGAGAGACGATAGCTCAGGGGAGAATGCGGCCCAGGAGCAGGCACAGAGGCTATGCGATGCTAGTAATAGGATAGTAAGAGGTCGAGGCAAGGCGAAGAGGAAGCTGGAAGCCGCGATTCGGGAACCTATTGTCATTGCCCGCTGGTTAAAGCATGGCTGACGGGCCCGTTGACGGGCATGGCATCTGGGCTGCCTTGGCTGAATGAAGATGCCAACCAGACACCAGTGCCGTCAGCGACTCTGACCTGGGCCGAAGAAGAGGCCGTCGAGTCGGACTCGAAACGCAGCGAAAGTGGCTGCGGTAGCGACTTGAACAAGCTTCGTGGTTTGTGGGATATCGTGATGGCACCAGAAATACCAGATCGGTTCGGTCGATGTTCTAGATGGTTGAACTGGGCGTGGATGGAGGGTGGATTTGGAGGTCGGATCCGCAGAAACGAGGGACGGGCAGCGACGGCGGCGCCAGCGGTTGCGGTAGCGGCGGCGGCGGCGGCGGATGGTGGCGGAATGTCAAAATGACAAGCGGATGGTTGAGTGTAGAAGCAAAGTGAGGTGGAACAAAAAGTTGAACGTGAAGTAGTTAGGCAGGGGACTAAGGCGCAAGGGCACTAGCGTCAAGTTCCAGCGCGATGGTGGTGGTGGTGGTGGTGGTGGTGGTGTGTGTGGCTTTGCCTCTATTGTTGTTGTTGTTGTTGTTGTTGTTGTTGTTGTCGGGTTGTACTACTGCCTGCTCTGCCTCTCTCTTAGTAGCTATGGAGGCCCGACACAACCAAGAGAGATACACCGGATAAAGCAGTTGAGCCCAGGCCAACGCAGGTGGGATTTATTTGAGCAGTCACTTCTCCAGACCATCCATCGAGGTGTTGTTCGTTCCGATGGGACTCGATTTGCCCAAGGCCTTGGCCAAGCGGCCAACCCAGTCAAGGACCAAGATACCCTAGTCACCTACGTGCTTATCTACTTGCAGCATACCCTGCCACTGATTGCACCATAACCTCACTGTGGGTGAGAGGGAGGGGTGCTGGGGACTTCGCATTGAAAGCTATGAGGAAGTAGTAGGTCTTTAGGGAGACGAATACATCCATGTGATTCACAGTTGTTCAACGTCACTACTAGTTTTGCTTCTTGTTTTTGAACGTAAAGGGTTTTCTAACTGGGTGGCCACGAGGAATGTTCGAGCATCTCAGAGTTCAGGGGACCGCAAAAAGTGTGCCGTGCCGCAGCCTTCGGGGTAGCCACTGGGGCGCGGCTTTAGTGAAGGCTTCCTGGTAAGCGCCTGCGTGGGCTCGATGAGACTCAGATGCCTGCTCCTTTACTTCCAGCAACCGACAGGCCTCCTCACCTCAGACGAACAGCACGGCCTGAGCAGACAAAATGGCACCCACAAGATCGCGTGGATTAGTTCGACGAGGAGATGCCTCTGGACACGTAACTCAGCATGCTCCGCGCGCAGCTCAAGACATGCCAACGTGCGTGCGAAGTCGAAGGATAGGGGCCATGCACAGTACATTTTCTTTTTAAACGCCGACCGTTGGGGTGACGAACCTGGACCCATGCATTAGTGCCAAACACCAAACACCATTCCTTCCCGCCGCCTGCGCTGCCTTGTCTCGCAGCCTGACAACCTGTCCTGGTCCTAGCCGTCCGGACAGTCTGTGTGTCGCGTTGCTTCCATGGTCTACAGCCTAGACGTCTGACGGACGGTACAAACACAGGCGAAACCGAGCGCATTGCGCCGCTCATGCGACCGTCCCGTGACGTACTGCTTACGTTACACCGAACAGACATAACCCTGGGGCAGTCCCGGGCGCAGGGCTGAGCCGTCGGATGCCCAGAAAATGAAAGAGTTATTAGAAGTACCAGGCGATCGAAGATGGGCTTGAGGACCTTTGCACAGAAGCAGAGTCAGCAGGGCGTGATAGTCATGCCTAACAATCTTGAGGGTGCAATGGCTGATCGTCGCCATTAGTACTCAATGTCACTTCTTCAAAGTCATTAGCACAAGTATAATTCAAGCATGTGAGCCGCGTTGGTGGACCTCGACTTCCATGGTGTAGTGGGATGTCGCGGTGAGTATTGGGATCTGCTTCCGAAAAAGCGTATCATCTTCCTTGAAACCAAAATTGAAATAGACCATGGGAGAGCGTGGAATATCTCAGAGTGTAGTCAAGGGTGGTAGTTGGCGGGTAGGCGCAAATTGGCCACGCCGCAGGCCCGCTGCGACAGATATTGGGAGACTCAACAACACATCATCTCGAGTGAAAATCGTCTGCGGCAAGCATCGGTTGGTCATTTGATCATTTTTTGGCAAATTTCTTTGATTGCCAGAGAGTGTCCCTTTTGGGTAGTCCCCTTAATGCAGAACCATTCCTAAACTCCAGAAGTCATGCGAGTAACCGTCAAGCTGTTGACCTCGTTTACTCCTCAGGGACTGCAAGACGTCGTCAGCGTGTTGAGCGGCCAGGCTGCGCTGCACCGAGCGGGCGGCGGAGTCGCGGTTCGTGGGATGCACTTACTGTCGATCTCGCCAGACTGGATGGCATCGATGATGGCCTGAGGGGGCTTGCCGTCGACCTGGCATCCGACGCTGTATGCCGTACCCAGGATCTCCTTGACAGTGCCCGCCAGGTCCTTCGAGAAGGACTTGTAGCGCATGGTTCGCGCAATCTCGATGATCTCGTCGAGGGCGACGGACTTGCTGTGCTTGATGTTCTTCTCCTTCTTGCGGTCGCGGGGGGGCTCCTTGAGGGCGCGGATGATGAGGGAGGAGGCGGTGGGGACGACGGAGACGGCGGCTTGACGGTTTTGGATGGTGAGCTTCACCGTGACGCGGAGACCCTTCTATAATTGTAGCTGTGAGCGCTGCTCTCTCCACGACCCTGTCCCGCGAGGGGAGCGGGAGGGGGAGGGGAGTTCGTTCATACCCAGTCGCCAGTGGCCTTCGCAATGTCCTCACCAACCTTCTTGGGAGACAGACCGAGGGGACCAATCTTGGGGGCCAGGGCGGAGGAGGCGCCAACCTCACCTCCGGTGGCACGGAGGTGACTGCATTCGCAAACACGACGTTAGTGACAGATTCCCTTCGATTCGGATCGAGCAAACAGCGGCGGCGCGACGAACATGACCTTGACCTCATTGGGATCGAACTTGGGAGCTGCACGGCAACGGCATAATTAGTATTTCAACGTCCACAGACATGCTGAATCTTGGGTAGGCTTACGCATCTTGACTGCTCTCGGATCTGGGTCTGGTGGGAAAGTTGGTGATCGAAGGAGGATTGAGACGCTTTGAGAGGGTCGAGGAAATTTTGCAGATGTGTGCGCCGTCTCCGCAGCCCTAGATGGCAGTCCAGAGCACAGCCACATAAACTGTGGCTGGCATCCTAGTAACGAGAAAATTTGGCGAGAACTCTTTGAGCCTTAGCCAATTGCAAGGGAGCATTCTGCTGCCTTCACGTGATCCTCTACCAATTAGGTCCTCATGCGGATCCTTTTTTCTTTTTTTTTTTTCTTTTTTTGGCCTTCTTCTTTCTGCGCGGTTTAGGCTCACTTCAGCAGTCGCTTAAACACTTCTGCCACTAGCCACCAGCCACAAGTGCGGTCATTGAAGTGTGCCTTCTTTGAAGCTGGAGGAGACGGGGCAATCTTCAGTGTTCGTCCGCATCGGTATCCTGGATAGCTCTTATAGCACTCCAGTTTCTAGTTCGATTTGCCTTTGGCCTTTCCTGATCACAATGCTGCAACCAGAGACAAGAGTCACTTGAGATATGGGTTCTCCTAAACTTGTGGTATTGCGTCTACTAGAAGATCATCCCGCAAACTTTGTTGACAGCCGTCTGCTGGCATGGGCATCATGCATGATTCATGATGGGTAGAATATCCCGCCTATGAAAACCGCTCTGGCCAGAACATGCCAATCCAGACCTGTTGTCAAACTGGTATCGTTGTCCACGACGCGCTTCCGCCGTTTTCTATCAACTTCGACAATACTGGCGGCGCGCTCACCAGCGTCTATTGCACATGCGGCACCCTCAGTTTGTGCCGCTCACAGCCAACCTGCACGGACATAAACGTTAGTTACCAGTTCGCCGACCAAGCCATCCACAACTAAGACTTACTTCATCAAGTGATCCATGAAGGTTTGGAGAGATACGTCGTCGGTGAAAATGGTTTGCGCGTTCTGCGCCCCAACGCCGCCATAGGCACCAGTCGTGTGGGTTGTCGAGGGGTTCAGTTTTGAGAGCAGGAATCTATGGCCCGTCAGTTGCAATTCGCAGGAACCCCCGCAGCAGTGACCAACCTTGCTTGCGAACCGCCTTGGTTGCAGACGATAAATCTTGGCAATGGGAATCTGTCGGTGATGAGGTCCTGTACCTAGTCAGCCTAGCGACAACAGAAAGACTTTCAGCAAAGAGACATACCCTTGCGTCTTCCTTGGGCTGTTCAAGCAACGCAGCAAAATTCTCATAGCCCTCTTGTTCTTGATAGCCCGCCTTCATCCACTCCGCAATTGTCTCACCGTGGAAGATGAGGATGTGAAAGAAGGTATCTAGCAGGAGAATATGAGTGGGTTGAATGGAGGAGCTGTCGAGGAGAACCGGCGATGCCTCCGCCTGGTCAAAAGTATAAGAGTCCAGCGTGGGCTGGATCATAATGAGCGAGTTGCTCACATCCTCATGGTTGAGAACATGTCGGTAGAATGCGGTTTCGTCGGGCGAGTTGTTGAACACCTGGAGGAACTGACTTCTTCTCAGGTGAAACATGAATTGCGGGTATAGAGTGAAGTTCTTCTCCAAGCGGAATGAAGAAGGATCATCTTTGCGATAGTCTGCAAAACGGGAGCAGAGTCTGATGAGCATCCTGTCAACCCATCGCAGAACATCAGGCCCGTCGTCAACTTCTGCCTTGAATACGGCGATCCGGGCCATGAGAACAGCCGCGGCTTCCTGGTCGAACGACTGAGCGATTGCTGGATCTCCTGCTGGCCCGCTAAGGTTCCTCGCAATCGTCGTCACTCTTAGGTGGAACTGGCCCGACGAATGCTGATAGTATGTGAGAAATTGCATCATACCCTTTTGCGGCGTTTGTTGATGCTGTGCTGGACCCCCTTGGCCGGCTATTTCGAAGTAGACGCCATAGCTAGAGCCAGGATCAATTCCACACATCTTCCATGAGCATGTGTTGCCGATGCCGCATTCAGTCTCGCCCACTGAAGTAGACTTCTTGTTGAGCGAGATGGCATGTCCGATCAATCCCGTGACCTTCAATTCCTTGGTTGTCAACACTTCAAGCGTCGCGTTGAAGCCCATGAGCAAATTATCGTCGCCATCCTTTTCGAACATGCGAATGAACGACTGCTTGAACATTGAGCTTGTGAAGCTGTCAGTTAAAACCATGCTGCCGCCAGTCTGCTGGCAAACTGACGTGATACATTAGCACACACTGCGTTGTAATAAACATCAACGAATGATTCGAGACTTACGACCCTTCATCTCAAGCAGACCGACTTGATCCAAGCAGCCGGCAAATATGTCGATGACATGCCCATTGTGAGCTGTTCTCTTAGCCAGATTGTCGTAAAACTTTAATGCCTTCTTGTAGTACTTGATGTTATCTCGATCGATGTCGTGGTGTGACCGCATGGGTTCACGTAGCTCGGGGCCGACGACCATACCAGGCCCTTCCGTGGCGGGGCCACCGGCAAAAAGCATGATGCGACCGCCAGCATGTTGGAAGGAGGATTCAAGAAGGCCGACTGCCACGCTCAGAGCAACACCGGTGCATCGTAGATTTCTGCGATCGTTCGCGACAGGCCAGGGGTCCTTCTGAAGCTGCTCCAGAGCCTTTGTCAATTGGAATTCGGCCTGCTGGACGGGTAGCAAGAACCGCGATGCGGGACCTGCCGGCATAGGTCGTCCGGGCTGTTGAGGCATGCCAGGGCGCATAGCCGGAGACAGAAGACCAAGCATTTCTTGCACCTGCTTAGCGTTGTAGTCCTTGCTGCCACGGAACACGTAAGATTTAGCACATTCGGTGTAACCAATCTCATGGACCTGAGCCATAGTGCCGTAGGTGATCAAGCCAACGAGAGCATTTTCGGGTAGAAGACTCAAGCTCATGACCAAGGATTCCTTCAAAGCGGCAAGACTGTCCTCCTCTTGGCATGTGTCTACAACCATCAGAAAGATGGGAGGGCTGGGAGCAGGGCGGGACAGTCGATACTCAATCGTCGTGTTAGAGGGGTGCAGTTCGGGGGGAATGGCGTTCGCGGTGATGTCCTTGTAATGCGGTGGCAGGGGATTTCGCGAGAGGCAGAAAGGGCATATCCAGAGACGTGCGCGAACATCTACTGAGCTGCAAGATAACGGGAGAAGGTCAGCCAAAAGTTCGGGTTGAAGGCGATGGCAGCCTACCAGAAGGGATTGAGAACCGAGCGACATGGCTGCTTGCAGGTAACAGGCTCGAATTGGAGAAGAGGGGTGTCGGGCTTCTCCTTGAGAGGTGTGTAGAGGGCTCCGATGGGCACAACGAGGCGTGATGCTTCCTATAGGTAATGGTCAGTTGACGCAAGCTTGACGACTTGGTGATTGGACTGACCATTCGCGAGCTGGGGAAGACATTCCAGCTAAGACGGACTCCGTCACGGTCCTCGACCTCACTCCATTGCTCCTTGAGAGCCTCGTAATCCATCCTTGCTTGACAGCTGTTGCGATGAAGTTGGGTTGTTAAAGTTGGAAACAAGCTTGCAGAACAAGATTCGCTTCAAAAGCAGAGCTTTTTCCTAAAAGATGCGGCGAAGTGGTAGCTAGCGCGAGATGTGTTCTCACAGGTTTGGACACGAAAGCTGATGGCTTCTAGAGGCCACGTTCTGCGGTGCTAGACATGGAATGAGGCTTGAAAATGTGGCTTGACGGATCTGAGCCTAACAATGTGGGGCACATTTGTTGTGTCCGCACCTGGCTGAGGTACCTGTCTGAGTTAAGGTTCTTATCGACGCACGCACCCCACTCGCCTTCACCTTCCCACTTACCTAGGCACCTTACCTACCTTACCTTATCTATATACCTAAGGTACCTTAGGTGCCTGTTAGGTTTGTGGGTACGCGCTGGATAACACATAGCAGCCTCACCGAGTCACCGAAACCTCCCGTCACATTTTGTCACGTGTCGCGTCTTCACTTCCCATCCAGGACCTTCTCAACCTCAGCTTCGTCGTTAAGTCTTCTTGATCACTGATTCCCTACAACGCTACTTACTGTCAGCATGGCTTCAAGTGCTCCCATTACCACGTGCGTGTCATTGCACTTCGACACGTCGGGTCATTGGCTGACTTGTGCTACAGAGTCTATGTGCGAAATCTCGAGGAACGCGCCAAAATCGACCAGCTGAAAGATGCTCTGCTCCAGATCTTCTCTGAGTATGGCAACGTCCTCGACATCGTAGCCAAATCGAATCTGAGAGCCAAAGGACAGGCTTTCGTGGTGTTTGATAGCCCAGAGTCTGCGCAAAAGGCTATCGACGATGTCCAAGGATTTGAACTCTTCGATAAACCTATGCAGCTTGCGCTGGCACGAACGAGGAGCGACGCGACAGTTAAGACCACCGGCAATGAGGAAGAGTTTGAGTTGCATAAGCGTCGTCGCTTGGCTGAGAAAGGTATTTTGTCTCGTCTCTGTCTATTGCTCGGTCTATACCTCTCGGACCATCCAACTGATGACTGCGATTTTAGACAAAAAGAGGGCCTACGAGGCCGCCGAGGAGCAGAAGCGACTGAAGAGATCAGGGCCGGCCGGCAGCGTACCAGATATGACAGGCCGACCTGCCAAAGCTGCCCGTGGCACTGGCCTCAAGTCCACCAACCCTTCTGCTACGGCCGTCGTACCAGACGAGTACCTTCCGCCCAACAAGATTCTCTTCGTTCAGAACCTCCCTGATGACTACGATATTGAGGCTGTCACCAGCATATTCGGACGTTTCGAGGGCTTTCGGGAGGTCCGTCTGGTGCCTGGCCGTCGTGGCATAGCCTTCGTAGAGTACGACGGCGAACAGGGTGCCATTACGGCGAAAGAGAACACGGCCGGCATGGTACTGGGAGACTCGCACACAATCAAGGTTACGTATCAGCGACAGTAGTTCATACGGTCATGTTTCCGTGTTCTCAAGTGGTAGTGGGTATTTCGGCTTAGGGCGAAAGGGACTTATTTATCAGGGACGGCCAAATTGGCTAGCTACCTAGGCTATAATACAATCGTCGTGGCCCATCGGCATGGACATGCTTGATGTTTAAAAGATGACATCGTTGTCATCGTCAGCGGCGAGGAGGTCGGTAGGTCCTGACCTGTTATCAACCTCATGGTCTGCCATGGCTGCCTTCTTCGCCTTGATCTCTGCGTCTGCGGCTGCCGTGTCTCGTTGTTTCTTGTTCGCCACCTACTCTACCGTCAGTTGATGTCAATCAAGAACGTCTTATACCGAAGCGCACCTTTTTCAATCTGTAGAACTCCTCTCTGTCCAGTTCGTCCAGTTCTGAGTTGATATCTATGTCATAATTAGCTTGCCGATGGCCACCACCAACTTAGTCCGGCAGATCGTACACTTGATGGTGTTCTCTGTTCTAGGGATAATGACGTGCTCGCTGATATGGTTAGCAACGGCTATTGAATGCACGAGATAGCTGTGCGCCGCTTACATGGCATTGACTGTCTAGCGTCAGTACACGAGAGGGCACGAAATCGACCTAGATGACTTACCGCGTCTGTTGACAACCTTGATCACCTCGTCCAGAATCACAAATGCGGTCTTCGGGCGTCAGCTAGGTTGCTAGGCACACGAGGGATGTTCCGAGGTTGCGCACCTGCAGACTAGCGAGCTCAACTAAGGCCTCTACGGCGCGAGCATACGTCTCACGGCAACGTTGAACTTGCTGGCCGCCCTTTCCAAGGCCCGTCAGGCCAAAATCATTATTACCTTCAGTGACATAGCTCTCGAAGGCTGGAAGCAGGACACCAGACACGTTCTCCTGCTTGGTGCGTAGACGGAACCTAGCAGATCTCGCCGATTCCTGAATCTGGTAGCCAATGTCACCCCCAACAGCATATGTGACTTCGGCTAGAGAAAAGGATGCAATCTGCATGACGCGACCCATCTTTCGCTTGGCCTCGTCGATGCGTCTTGTAATCTCTTAGGGTGTTGTTAGCCGGCGCAACTGAGAAAAGGGGTGAAGCGGCGAACCTCGGAATCGCCTACGGTGCAAAGAATGTCAGCAATCAGTCCACGTGATGAGAAGTCATTCCGAGATATCAAAGAGGCATACTTCGTCAGAGCCTCGCTCTTCCTCTTCAGTAGACTGTGACCCGTCTCAGCACCCTTGAGTTTGGCCTTCATGATTCCCAAAGACTGGCGCGTGGGAAACACAGCCTCTCGATCCTGCACAAGAACAAACTCCCTGTCAGCCACGCAATCCGAAGAATGTACCTTTTCAGTGCGGAAGTCTTTCACATACAGGAGCGCCCGACATGATGGTTGGAGCTGCGAGAAAGGAGAGCTTCGGTTGACCAGATCGACGTAGATAATAATGCAACGACCGTAGGACAAGGCGGCTAATAAGCGGCGTGCGACGAGAGTGCAAAGAAGGGAAGATTGAGGAGGTGAATGGTAAACGCCCCAGCAAGAAAATGCGCGTCGAGTTCGGTTGTCGTTGCGGGTTGACGATTGGAAGTTCGTTGCGTCAATCCAGTGCTTCAATTGCCGTAGTTGCTCCAGCAGCTACCAACCTAAAGGTATCCTGTCTGGGATAAGGTACCGAAGGTACGTAGGGATGCCCGGGCCCCATTAGGTGCCTACCTAAGGTACCTACCTACCTACCTTACCTTACCTAAGGTACGTAGGCACCTATGTCAGGCACCCAAGATAGGTAGGTATGGAACGCAATACAAGGTACCTAGCCAGCTAGTAGGTGGGTTCAGGCACGCAGGTGCCAGTTGCCTATGAAGGGCTACCTATCTCAAAGGAACCTAGGCCGCAGCGAGCCGTAGAGCTCTGTGGCCTCGAGTTGTACCATCAGTGGTAATGTAGCCGCTAGGGTCTTACGCATCAGTACTATGTATATCTTGAATTGAGGTACCTCGGGCACCTGGGCACCTGGGGACGATGCAGATACATTTACATGGAGGTGCTCCGTCCTCAATCGCGACAATTAGTGGGCCCGACGTCTGCGACAACACTAAGGTGCATGAGCATGGTAGTGCGGCGCGCGCTGACTAACTACATTGAAGTGGGTCTGGTTTCTCCGGTCGGTGCTTGTTGATGTCGCGAAGGGCTCTTCATTATCGTTCCCTCGTCGTCAATGTTACGATACCCAATCTGTTACCCGGCAGCTGGCGCCGCGATGATCCCCGAGACCTCGTCCGCATAATGGCCTCTGTCTGAATCACACCGATAACCACTCGTCAATCGCTTCTTCGTTCTGCAGACGCAGATGTCCCGTTTCTCCCTCCTGCTTCCTCAGCCCTCTATTGCACACGACTACTGGGCAAGCGAACAGCATCAAGATGCCGGCACATCTGCTGCCTGACGGCTCCCAAATATGCGCAGACCTGCACTTGGTTGTACGTGTAGAGTTCCGTCTTCGAGACTCCCCCGCGCCCCAATATACAAATGCTAACGCCTGCTTAGAGTGACGAGGATTCTGTCTACGAACAGGATGTTCTGCGAAATCCCGGCAGCGCGAAGCCATGGCTGGCCTACATACAATTCAAGACACAACATGGGACGCTTCGCGAGCGCGCCTTCGTGCTTGAGAGAGCTTGTCTTCAACTCCCTCGATCGTACAAGCTGTGGAAGATGGTATGCGCGCGTGCGTCTGAGGTTTCAACTTCCCTATCATGCTGACAAAGTCACGACAGTACCTCACCTTCCGCGTCAAACACGTCTCGAAACTAAACCCTGCAATATTCGCTGCAGAGTATCGAAAAGTAAACGCGCTTTTCGAACGGGGGCTGATTCTTCTCAACAAGATGCCTCGAATATGGGAGCTTTACCTCAAGTTCTTGCTTCAGCAACCGCTGGTGACCACTACAAGAAGAACGTTTGATCGAGCTCTCCGCGCTTTGCCAATTACTCAGCACAATCGAATCTGGGCTCTATACAAGCCCTTCGCGAATTCAGCTGCAGGCATCAGTGCTGTCAAAGTTTGGCGTCGTTACATGCAGATCCATCCCGAAGACGCCGAAGACTTTATTGAGCTTCTTACACAGGTTGGCCTCTACACTGAGGCCGTGAAGAAGTACATTGATGTTCTCAATAACCTGCGCTTCACAAGCAAGCATGGCAAGGGGCATTATGAGCTGTGGGGCGAGATGGTGGACATGATCGTGGAGCACGCAGCCGAAATAGAGACCGGGCACGAAACAGGTATTGATGTGGAAAGAATCATCAGAAGTGGTATCGTTCGCTTTGCCGACCAACGAGGCAAGCTCTGGTGCGGGCTGGCAACGTACTGGATTCGACGAGGTAGCTTCGAACGTGCTCGAGACGTTTTTGAAGAGGCTGTCACGACTGTTATGACGGTCAGAGACTTCACGCTTGTCTTTGACTCGTATGCCGAGTTTGAAGAGTCAATTATCGGGGCACTCATGGAAGTTGCTTCTGATCGTGCAGACAAGGGCATCGTGGACGAAGAGGCGGACTTCGAACTCGACATACGCATGATGCGGTTTGAGCAGCTCATGGATCGGAGACCATTTCTCCTGAACGACGTCGTTCTGCGACAAAACCCCAATAACGTTGCCGAGTGGGAGAAGAGGGTCGCACTCTGGGGTGAAAATAAGGTAGAAGCTGTGCAAACCTACACTGCCGCCATCGCGACGATACAGCCGAAGAAGGCCGTTGGGCCCTTCCATCAACTCTGGGCCAACTACGCGAAATTCTATGAGCGGGGTGGCGACATTCGCAATGCGCGCATTATCATGGAGAAGGCCGTCAAGGTACCGTTCAAGTCCGTAGCAGAACTTGCAGACATGTGGATTGAATGGGCCGAAATGGAGTTGCGGAATGAGAACTTTGACGATGCCGTCCGGATCATGGCGAAGGCAGTTCAGGCGCCAAAAAGATCGACAGTCGACTATTTTGACGAGACCTTATCGCCGCAACAACGCGTGCACAAAAGTTGGAAGCTCTGGAGTTTCTACGTGGACCTCGTGGAAAGCGTTAGTTCTCTGGAAGACACCCGCAAGGTGTATGAGCGGATATTCGAGTTGCGGATCGCGACGCCACAGACTGTGGTTAACTACGCCAACTTGCTCGAGGAGAATCAATACTACGAAGAGTCATTCAAGATTTACGAACGTGGCCTGGATCTCTTCAGCTATCCTGTGGCATTCGAGCTGTGGAATCTTTACCTTACGAAGGCCGTTGATCGTAAGATTGGCATCGAACGTCTCCGCGACCTGTTCGAACAGGCGATCGAAGACTGCCCGCCCAAGTTTGCGAAGGTAATTTACCTTATGTACGGCAACTTGGAAGAGGAAAGAGGTCTTGCTCGACACGCCATGCGTATCTACGAACGCGCCACCCGTGCGGTGGCCGATGAGGACCGGGCAGACATGTTCAACTTCTATATTACCAAGTCGGCGTCCAATTTTGGACTGCCGTCAACAAGACCCATTTACGAAAAGGCCATCTCCACTTTGCCTGATAACGAGGCACGGGATATGTGTCTCAAGTTTGCCGACATGGAGAAGCGCCTTGGCGAAATTGATCGGGCGCGGGCTATTTATGGCCATGCTTCACAGTTTTGCGACCCACGTACCAGTCCAGACTTTTGGGCCAAGTGGGAAGCGTTTGAAGTGCAACATGGCAACGAGGATACGTTCAAAGAGATGCTTCGGATCAAGCGGAGTGTGCAGGCGCAGTACAACACCGACGTCAACTTCATCGCATCGCAAGCGCTTGCTCGTAGCCAGCGACAGCCGGACGTCGACTCGGCAGACCCAGAAGTGGCGGATGCCATGGCCGCACTCGAGAGACAGGCGAGAGCACCAGCCGGTTTCGTGGCAGCAAGCGACACCCAAAAAGTCAGCGCAACAGACACCACACTTGTTGCTGCCAACCCAGACGCAATTGATGTTGACGACATGGACGAATAACACATCAATTTCTTGCCCTTTTGTAGTTGGGCAATACACTGGCGATGGTTGGGCTACGTATAGCAATTTTTATACAGGCAGACTCAGAACAGGCACACCCAAAACATTATCTCTGATCCGGTGTCGCCAATTCAATTCTTTACTTGTCGATTCGTACACAGCGTGATAGATTCTGATGTGCAGACTTTTGTGTAAGACGTTTACTTCCCAAGCGTGTCGAAGGCAAATTATTTAGCAGGGGTCTTGCCGTAACCCTTCTCGGTGTGCTTCTCATGGAAGCCTGTCGCGTAATTCCTGTCGACATGGCCATCGCGAGAGCCGGGGGTGGCATAGATGGAGCCTTTGCGCTTTTGAAAGCGACTCGGCGGCACCTTCGAAGCGTCTGATCCAGGTTACCGGTGAGTATTGCGGATCGTCTCGGGACGCGGCTTCGCACACTTACCCCATTCATCAGTGCTGGCTCTTCGATCTACAGGCGACGAAGAGAGGGCCGGTGCGGCTTCTCCGTTGAGAGCGACCGGCGACGTATGAGTCTCGATGGGGATGGCATCGGTGCGGCTTTGATCGTCTATACCGATACGAATCAGCACATGCTATAAGCAAACGAGCCGGCATCGTGTGGAGCGCTTACTAGACATTGTAAGATGGGCACGGAACGTTGCAGGGCAGATACGGACAAACGGCAAAGGCGTCTGAGTTGATTTGGGTGACTGCTAGGACTGTATTCTAGGTATTTGTTATGCGGGGTTTAGAATAATGGAGGTTGGGTAGGTAGGGATGGTTGTTGCATACGTCAGACGGTGCAATGAGTAGATTAGCTTGGAGGTAAGTTGGGTAAACTGGCGGGAATGAGGGGGTGGCCGTATTTATGAAGGAGACGGGGTAGTACGTTGAAGCATCTTCCCATACGCACCAGCAGACTCCCACTACTCGAAGAACGAAGGTGAGGTAGGGTTGCTTGGTGAGTCTAATAACACTGGACAAGAGAAGGACCAACGAGCTGGTCTGGCCTACTATGCCAATGTGAGGTCAGCGACACTAAGTGCTTGTACAGGAAAGTATGGCGTGCGGAGTATTGGGGAAGGTATCTGCCAATAACGTCCCACACGAATGGGCGAAGCATGGATTGTCCTCTGATCGACGTGTGCAATTGGATCGAGTTCCCTTGGGCCAGCCAGCTTCCGTGGACAAGCCCACATACAAGGGGGCAATCCCTTTCTGAGGGTATCTACATGAGCGACTACGAGACGGAGGGGCAAAAAACGATGCACACATGAGGGATCTAAGTCGACTTCACTGTCTCTGCAAGACATCTGCTCCTTTGGAGAAACGCTCATCGTCTCTTGGCACTTTAGCTTGTCGACATGCTATGCCGGATTTCGTAAGAGGGCGCTGTCGCATGCTTCTCTTATTGGCCGGGGACTTCGGGCTTGGTGTCTATGTGCATGCTGGGAGGCCCTTGCCTGCACATAATCTAACTTTCGCGGGGAAGGTGACGAGGATCTGCGGCTGCCATTGACGTCACGCGTCATCCGTTCGACTGGAAGAAAGACTCGCCTCAAGTTACTCGGCCCCTTATACCAGTCTGCGGCCGCACCACTCTATGCTCCCAGGGTCGTTTATAGTCAAGATGAACTCATCATGAGGGTGTCAATCACAAGGTCACTTGAGATGAACGGGGGGGCCAAACGGGCAGAATCATTGCGGTAAACTGCAGTCACGTTACCGGTCACCCTGGATCGTCAAGCCAAGCCAAGCACCTCGGTTTTAAATGATCCTGTGACTATTTCGTCTCTATCGCCTATTGCTCCTGAATCATTTGCTCTCTCCCTACCACGCACTCGGCCACGGGTCTTGGCATCAGCCTGTCCAAAGCATAGCTAAGGCCGCAAATCCTTTTCCCATTAGCTATGCATTCGATTTACATGCTCTAGATTCCACGCCCATGTATGTACGCTTAATATCCGATCCCCCAACTCCCCTAAATCCACAGGATGAGCATGCTATGTTCTTTGAACGTCTCCTTCCTACACCATTATCATCATTGTCTGCATTTGTCTGGCAGCTTCGACAATTGCCCATACTGCCTTTGTACATCACTATGCAACTTCAGCGTATGAGTCGTCATGGTACCTTCTAACCACACGATCCAACAATCTCGAGTAAACGACATATAATAGCCAACATGCATCATAGACTTCCAAGTATAAGCACAGCAGTCAAAGAATGGAATTGTGTACTGTCGACGACTAGACGCAGTCAAGCCACCTCCAAACACGGTTTAATAGGCATCAACATCACTATCAGATCAGCACCTTCGCCATCGCCAATCCTTTCCGCCTCCGCGGCTTTCCTTGCACTAAGCCCCGCGACAACCTCATATTCCATCCGAGAAAAACCGCCTTAAATCTCCTCACCGTCGGCACGAAGCTCGGCCAAGTAGGCGGGATCATCCTCGGGGGCAGCGGCAGCCGACTGAGCGCGCTTGACCATCCTGGCAAGAAGATCCTCACTTCTCTTCATGGCAAGCATCAGGTTGCGGCGAGCGGCGGCCGGTGTAGTAGTGCCAGCCATCTGAACGGGAACCACACCACCGAAGGGCCCAGCACGTGCGGCATTCTGGCAGCGTACCAGGCAGACATTAGACTGGCCGGCGACGGTGCCGGTACAGGTCTGATCGGCCGGGATAGCAGCCTTGAGTGGGAAGTCGGTCATGGCACCGTCACGGTTGCGGGAATTCTGGCCAGGCGGGGTAGTGACAACGTTGATATTAGTCCACTGGGCACCGGTGGCATCGGCGTTGATCATGCAGTCGTAGGGGCCTGGGCACTTGTCAATCGACTGTCAAGCAACCGAATTATAGATTTCTGCTGCTTACCACCGCCATCACCGTTGACCTGGTGAAGAGTCATGTCAATGGAGCCGCCAGCGCTGACCTGGGGAAGCATCTGGCCGGTCTCAGCCATGATAGCCTTGGTACCCGTCTCGAGGTTATTGGTGCCTCCACCGACAGTCTCACCGAAGGTATCAGCGGCGTCGCCCTTGAAGCGGGTGCTGTCCTGCTGGAAGGGGTTGCGGCGGGTACCATCACGGGGAGTACTGGAGTCGATGCCGATAGCCATACCCTGACCACCAGCATCGCCAGTGGCACCGACGATTGCGGCGTGTCCGGCAACAAGGTCGGCGGTAGCCAGAAGGCCGACGGCCAAAATGCTCTTCATGTAAGACATGTTGCTTGTGATAGAGAAGGTAAGTCCTGACCGGCAGGGGGGAATTATACAATACAAGAAAGATTGAAAGGAGAGAAGGACACCTGGAAAAAGACTGCTGATTGCTTGATGAAGACAGGAATGGTATACGGTAACTGAAGTGGGAAGTTGCCTCATCTTATAGGAAGATTCCGTCGCAGGGTCAAAGCAATTTCACGATGACTGATGTCGGGATGACACGCTATGCCTCTCCCCTATCCATCTATTCCATCTTGGTGTGATTTCCATGATGCCTGGCGCGGTTGACTAGATGTCCATCCGACGTCCCAAACCGCCAAGCCAAACAATTTTTTTTTTTCTTTTACGAGAGAGCCCCAATGCGACTAGGAGTGCGGAAGTATTCAGGTCCAGGCGCGCGCGAGAAGCGCTGATGCCTTGGAATGAAAACTGCCGAGTAGCAAGTTGTGGCGAAGCTGTAAGAGCAGAGCCTCATGCGAGCCTCGGGCCAGGGTGTGAGAGATGGGTTGGTTGACGACGAGGGTGGTATCAAGGTTCCGGAGTTGGTGTGGCCGAATGTCAGCTGAAAAGCCCAAGCCCATAACCAGGGATGGGATTAAGCCTTGAGCTGATCCATTAATACGCAGCAAACGTTCTAAAAGAAGGGGAAAGGGGAGACGGCACGCGGCGGGTGCAGGCCCACAAGCCGATGACTTGCATGCCTGCACGCCTGGGAATCCTGGTGGCCTGTTCAACAGTACGGGTTATGTTATTGCATGTTCATATTATTGAGGAGCGACTTGGCCTAGGAACATCATTCATTTGCTTGTTCGTTGAGCCCCTCTTGACGAACAACAGGACTACACACCGGTACCGTTGGCAAGGAGAGATTTCACCATAGTGTACGGGCGTGTACCAGCGTATCAACATACCCACCTTAGCCTCGAGGTACTGTTGGCAGTTGCATAGCGGCAGTCGAAGGAGGATACCTAGGTCACCACCGGGCGATCGACACAAGGACCATAGGTTGCACCGAATAATTGGAAGTCAGCGTTTCGTTTACCCTCTAGCATTTAAGCTGGGGGTAAAGAAAGCAACGGGCCAGCATATACAAAGCTCCAGCCAAAGTGCCTTGCGCGTTTCGATACGGGGAGTGGGCGGCGGCGTTTCGAACCTCGATTCGCGACGGGTGCACCCAAACCGGATCTGCAGCAACGGGGCCACCCACAGGAGATACGAGCCAGAAGTTTAGGTAAGGGAGGACCGAATCGAACGACACAATAGCCGGCGTCAACGGCGCGCACTGCTGCTCACGATCTGCCGCAGTAGCCTGGACAACCCTGCATCAAGCAACATAAGACGGGGCGGAACGTTGCGATAAGATGCGGCGCGGTACGCTGTAATGCGCTGGGAGACAGTATGAGAACGGCTAACGGACATGAGACAAGGAGAAGGATACCGAGTGCGAGAAATCATCAGCGCCTCACCAGCGCGTAAGGTAGGTAGTGACCTAATCTCCCCTGGGTGCAAGGCCGAGCAGACTGGGCAGCGGATTCGCGGCCAAGTCTGCGGTGACGACAAGCAGGGCGATCCCAAGTAAGCCAGGCTGATCTGTCTGCAGCTGGCAATGACCATGACCAAAAGTCTGGGCGGTATTTTGAAATCTAGTTGTTGAGGACGGCGACAGCCGTCCTGCTCCTCAGGGCCGTCTGGACCATACGCGATACACCATGGAGCACAAGTACTTAGACTTACGGGCGAGACTGTTATAAGACGACGCTAAGATACGGATACAAACGTTGACTTGCGCATATGTCGGGCATGGGCTAAGAAGATTGGTCTCGACAGCGTGCGGGCAGCGGGTGGGGCGAGGAGGCGCTGGGCGTGTGAGTGCACCAAGGCCGCCCGCCTATCAGGCCACCCATCCAGGGCAAGGAAACCTGGATTCATGAGACGGACGTTGTTTGGCAGATTGCGCACCGGCCGTCGGTGCAACCGAGTTGCCAAACGCATCACGGTGTATGGAGGGCCAATCGCATGAAGTCTTACCAGAGCAGTGCCGATCCTGTTTCTCGAGAGCATGGAGACAAGACAAGGGGGAATTGGGGAGATGTAGCACAAGGGTGCATGCTGGGGTTGCAGCAAAAGCGAAGAAAAGAAAAATAACATGGAGAGAAGACGGTGGGCTCTATCAAGAGGGTCGGCGTAAATCCGATGATCAAGTCCCTGTCGCGATTAAGCTACAAGACAAGCCTAAATCAGTCCACGGCAGGGGTCTCGGGTCTACCTTAACCCAATTAAGCTCTGGATGAGCACTTGGGTAGTAGGCTGAGGTGAGGATCCAGAAGCTACGCATGGCGACATGTTCCCCTGGCCATTGTGGGCAGAACGGTCTCGTCCAATGAGTCTCCCGAACTTCTCAACGGAGACGCAGAGAGGGAGGAAGGGCAACGTCAACAGTTTTCTGCGGCGGGCCTTGGCAGTTTGAGCTGGTGCACGACGTCCATGTGTTGGTGTTCACCTCTACTTCTGACTGTACACTTCAGAGAAAAGAAGGTTGTGTATGACAGCGAAGGCTAAAGCAATCACGTAATAGTTTAGCGGCACCAAGGAACTCTGAGTTGCGCGGGCTTCTACACTATCTAGGTGGCTTACGTAACGACCTAGGTACCTTTTCAGGGTGACCCTACGGGCGGGACCCAGCACTTGGTGTGTCGGGGAGGGCAGGCCCAGGACACACGTGCGCTACCAGGTACGGTCTACCAAACCCTGCTTCTAAGGTACCTTAAGGTAAGGCCCGGGCACCTCGACCTCGGTGTTGAGGAGCGTCACTCCGCCCTCGACTGAACGCTTGGAACTTGGAGCCTGTGAGTCAAGTCGGTGGAACCGTATCTTGACACACATCTCTCCTACCCGCTTGTCTTACCAGATTTCCAAACCCACCGCTGCCTCATATCATCCCATTTTCATGAACCATTCCGCACCCAGCCCCGCTTCAGACTGCTCTGCAACCCCATCATCTACCTGCACGGCCACAAAACGAAGTAGCGCTATTCCACCGTCCGCCTTCTTAGCAAGAGACTCGGCACAACAACTTTCAAAGCTTTCCTGGGCGTCCTCCTTGCCCTAGGTGTGTCATGACATGATACATACCTGTGCTCGAGCTGCCACGAACTGGAAACGTTGTTGGGCGGTCTACCCCATGAAGAGGAACTTTGACACTTTCCTAGGCCGTCCTGTTCCGCCTTCTCGCAACATGGCTGCTGCAGCCACCACCATTGGGACACCCGTCCTTCAACTTACTGCCAAGGAAGAGCAGCTGAAAGAACTTCTCGTCGAAGTAGCTGCCTCGATCGACAGGACGTGTCGCCCTTCGGATCCCCCTCTGGTCCTTCGTTGGGCTGGTGGCTGGGTTCGCGACAAGCTCCTTGGCATCGAGAGTCATGACATTGACACGGCTATCAATGTCATGACCGGCTATACCTTCAGCCAGAAGATGCGTGACTATTGCGACGACTCGGAAAACAGGAGGAAGCACAACATCAGCCCTGATGATCTGGGGAGCATCCACAAGATTGCTGCCAACCCAGACAAGTCGAAACACCTCGAGACTGCCACTTGCCGCATATTTGGCCTAGACGTCGATTTTGTTAACCTTCGAAAGGAGACTTACACCCAAGACAGTCGCAACCCAATCATGGAGTTTGGCACAGCCGAGGAGGATGCTATGCGTCGGGATGCCACCATCAACGCCCTGTTCTACAACTTGCATACTGGTCTCATCGAGGACCTCACAGGTGGTCTTGAGGACATGGCGTCGCGACTCATTCGGACCCCAATGTCTCCTCTTCAGACATTCACGGACGACCCGCTGAGGGTCCTGAGGTTAGTTCGCTTTGCCAGTCGTCTGGACTTCGACATAGACCCTGCTGCAACGGCAGTCATGGCGGAGCCTTCTGTGCTCGGCGCATTGAAACTCAAGATCAGTCGCGAGAGGGTTGGGGTCGAAGTCGAGAAGATGCTCAAGGGTAGACATCCCCGGAAAGCTCTCGAACTCATACATAACCTTGGGCTTTACGAGGCCATCTTCACAGATCCAAGTGGCGAGCAGTGCCCTGCACCAGATCTCTCCAAGTGGAAGCTTGCTTATGGCTGTCTCGATCTTCTCTTTCGCGATCGCGTGCCGGGATCCATTTACAACACTCTCGTTGCCACAGACGAGGCTGCTTACTTGGCGTGGGCATTGGCGGCAGTCATACCATACTCACATGTGAAGGACGAGGTTGCCTTTCCAAAGAGTAAGGGAACTATACCCGTGACCACACTGGTGGCGCGAGAGGGCATAAAGGGTCCGAATAAACTGTGTGACATGATCACCGGGGCATCCCGTCATTGCCGCCAGATCACAGCCATGAAGGACAATGTTTGTGCCAAGAACCCGCCCTTTTCTCAAAGAGATATTGTCGGTATGGCAGTCCGAAAATGGGATGCTCAAGGAGGCCACTGGCAGACTCAAATTGTATATGCCATTCTCGTTGAGGCCACGGACAAATTGGAATCCCTCTCCGATTCAGGTGAGTACTTATAAAATTGATCTCAGTAAAGATTTGTAGCTAACACCATTGCAGACGTTTCGGGATTCCTCACAGGCTGGAAATGTTTCTTGGACCACCTGGCTGATTTGGACGTTATGGATGCCCCATCACTGAGACGCCTGGTAGACGGTTGGTTACTAACGAAGGAGCTTGGTGTTCGCCCAGGTAAATGGATGGGGCAAGCCCTGGAAGTGTGTGTGGCGTGGCAGCTCCGCCACCGCGGCGAAACCGATCCAGCTGGTGCGATAGCCGAAGTGAGGCAACGTTCTAAAGAGCTTGGAATCACAGGCATGCAACGGCAGAACTGAGAGCCTTTCCAGACAGCTACGTCAATGAAATAAAAGCATAAAGAAAAGGGGGGGGCCGGCGGGGCGGGCTTGATATTTGCCTCGTCAATCGTAGGGACCGGCCATAAAGGTGTACGGTAGATATTGAAGACCAACACCAGAAGACAGTGGGCTGCAAATGAAGTCTGTTTACTGTACTACAGAGCGCGTCAACTATCAACTATGCGATCTACCATGACCAGCACAGCGGGCGGGTCGTTTGCCAAAGTGATTATTCCTCTCTTCTCTCCGATTTGTTGACGAATGCAATATAATTGTCTAAGCCGGGCATTGGTCACTTAGTCAGTCACCCTTAACCTCATAAACATGGATGGACATGGCGCCGCAAAAAAAAAAAAAAAAAAAAAAAAAAAAAACCAAACCGCACAGGCCGTATTTTTTTCTTCTTCCCTTTTTTTTTTACCATTTCCCCAATACCGCGAGTGCCAAGGGGGAAGCGCTGCGCCGTTGCTCACCAAGCCCCCTTTGTTGAGTCAGCTGCTCTCTGCCTTGGGTAGGTTATGTAGTTAGGATCGTTAGCCACTTTACCCGAACAGCTATCCTCTTCGCCTCGAGGTTGTGACCGCCGTTTGCGATTCACCCATTTCTCAAGTTCACTGCGACCGAAAAATCCCCGTTGAACGTTGCAATTGGCAATCACGAACCTCAGCCAAGCCCAACCCTACTTGAAAGGCGGCGCTATGCTCCGCACCCTCGTTGCGCAGTTGCAACAACCCAATGCGGCTATCCAATTCAAGCTAGCCCAAGGTGGGTGGTTACGGCCCCCCGAGGAAACAAACGACGCTATCTAGAGACTGACAATCAACGGTAGTCCTGCCACAACATTATACTCTCTTCGACATTGCCAACGGGTTGTCCGAATGCCAGACCTTGGTGAGTTTGTTTTTTTCCCTCGCCAAGGGTTCCAACCTTGACTAAATTGATGCAGCCGGAACGCCGTGTCATCGAGGGGGTATCTTTCTGCCTGAAGCAGACTGATCGCATTGAGAGGAGATCTGTAGATGCTGAAAATGCTGCCAGATTAGCCAACTATGCCGCGATGCTCCTCGAGCGAACCCCGGATGGCCTGCCTCTATGTTGTCCATCATCTGAAGATGCTGCTCCCGTGGACGACGTCCTAGGCGTCCTTCTCAGCCTCGTCGTGCATCACTCATCATGCCTTGACGATGACATATTACTGGCTGTGGCCGCGTACGCAGACGGCCATGAAGACTGGTCGGCGCCGACAACGGCCTCAATAGCCAAAGACCTGTTGGATCATGCACTAGGCGACGGGCATCGAAAAACCGCTTTCATCACCTCAGTAGTTCTGGACAGATTTATCCGGCCAATCTTTTCTCGTTACTCCTCCAGCCGTCTCACTTCAGCTGGCAGGCAAGCCTATTATCGTGACGATGATCACGATCAGGTCACTGGAAGCGCTCTCTCTAGTGGCACAGACACGAAACCATGGAAAAGTACCCAGTCACATGCTGTCACTGTCTTCGCCTGGACTGTGGAGCAGTCAGATGTGAGTTAAAAAAAAAGAAGGGACAGTCCGCGCTGAACACATCCAAGTAACGAACGGTCCAGGAGCACATTATTGCCACAAAATGGCCTCTTTTTGTCCCCGTTATTCTGTGTCTCATAGACGACACAGACACTGCATATAAGGCGCGGGGCCTTGCTATCCTGCAGGAGTTCCTTGAGCGATCCACTGCCAGTATGCTAAGGGCTACAGGGCTTGGTGAAATATTTGAGCAATCCATTTTTCCCTCCTTGGTGTCCTTGCCGACCTTGACACATGAGGATGAATCGATACAGCTCCTTGTTCCGGCGTACGGTGCTGTGATACGGTTGGCAGATGTCCAATTTCCAGATTCAAGCACCGGCTCTCAAAAGAACCGTTTTCTTACCAGGTTGCTCAGGGAGGCCATTTTTGCCGGTTACTGGCATGCATCCGATTATGCCGGCATTGTCGAAGTGCTGTCACGACAGGTTTCGTCAGTCGTCTGCAGACTGGGCACGTTCGCTATCCCACACGTCAAGGTCAGAAGCAGATGCTACTTTTTTTGTTTCGTTACTTACATACGATTAGGGTTTGCTGTCCATGCTGACGACCATTCTATCCGACCCTTTCATCGTTGCTCGTCCAGAATGTGTCCAGGCAGCTTCTCAGGCGCTGTCGACCGTCTTGCTGAATTGCTGGTCTAGGGTTGCGGATCCAGTGCATTCAAATGAGGTACTGAGGGCCGTCAGCGTGTGTTGGCTGAATTTGAAGGATATTCAAGGAGTGCCGCAAGACAAGGCACCGCAAGATGCTTTTGTGGCCTTGGCCAGCATGGCACGATTGCTGTCTACGATATTCAAGTCCGCTGGCATATCCCCACGGCAGCAATTCGCACCCTTGTGTGACGTAGAGCCTAGGCTCTCGGGCCTATTTAGTGATGCGGAGGCAAAGGCCAGCGAGCTGCCGGATAATACTGGTTTCAGTCCAGAGGCTGTTGCTTGAAGAAGGACTTCCCGCGCAACCATTTTCTATACGCTTTGTATCGCTTTTTTTGTGCATCCTCCTCTGTCACTGTGAGCGGGTTGCTTCCAATTTTGAGCAGCTCGGTGTAGACAGCGATATCTTCCTCAGCACCCACAGGCGTAAGCGGGTCGCTTTGCCAGCTGCTCTGGACATAATCCTGGTATTCAGACTGGTTCTCGGCCTGTGCCTCGGCTGATACAACCAAGGGCAGGTTCTGTGGGTGGCTGATGTACCGCTCATAATCCGCGGCTTCTTGTTGACTGACTGACGGGTTCAGAGACTCGTTGACCACCTTCGTGAATGTCCATTGTGCTGCTTTTGTCTTCTCCTGGGCTGTGGGCTTCGTCTTGGGCGACCCCTGAGGTTCCGCCTGCGTCTCCTTCATGATTCCATGATGGCCAACAACCCTTTCCTGCATCGGCTGCAGCCAGCGGTGGATCGAAATTCCTTTACCGCCTGTTGTTCGGTCCGATATGACAGATGCTGCGTCTAGATCTGGCGGAGACCGATAGTCCTGCGGATCAACGATCGTCACCTCCTTCTTCGGCTTTTTTTTCTCATGCGCATCCATGTCGGTCTCATTGCGCACTCTGAAAGGGCTCAGGTCATATCGACCGTCTTGGGTGGATTTGAACGGTATATATTTGATGGTAGAATTCATCTTGTACGGAAACATTTTGAGAAATGACGAAAGGGTGGATGGCCTGTAGTACTCGACCCAATAGTCGTCAAAAAAGGATACGGGCATCTTCTTCGCATCGCCAGGAGGTGGGCTGTAGGCTGGGAATTTGCGCTCCTGTAGATTCTCCGGTGTAAACCAATCGATGTAATCCCGTTTAGTCTTTTCGGACCATGTGCGGGGATCTGCATGGTGGAGGTAGTAATCGGTCGCCAAATCCCACAACATTGGCTGTCCCTGGGCGAAGATGTAGTTTCCAAGGAACAAATTGTAGGCCTCCTGGCGCTGTCCGTCAAGGAATGAGTTGTTGTAGTATCGTTTGAAACTCTCAATCATGTCGCGAGAATGGCTAGTCCATTGATTGATCTTACGATATGTCTCCATGGTGTTCACAAGCTGGGAGCCGCCATACTGAACAGCTATGGTGTCACCATGATCGTGATACATATGCGTGAAAAGATTGACGGCGTCGGTGTCGTAATTGATAGATGTGTCCTCGAGAATTCCCAAGGCATGAAGCTGGTGGCCGAGCGCCCTTTTCCCAACAACAAATTGCGCTGCGTTTGTGCGGTCTAGGCAGTCGATGCAGTTGGTCCGGGCCACTCCATTCTGGACGCTGGTTGGATTGATGTTACCGTCGCCGTCATGGAAGAATCCGGTGGTGACAACAACATCTTCGGCAATGCGCTCCAGGGTCCCAATAACGTCTTGATCGCGACTTTTTGCGGCCCTGCTCATATCCCAAGCTTTGTGGATTATTTTGCGTCCTTCAGGCAAGAACTGGTTGAGGTAATTGATCGCATTGGTGTACTCCAACAGGAGCTTTGACTCTCGTGGCGTTCTCTCTCTGGCTTTGACCAAGTTGAGGACGTAAATTGGGGCGCCGTAACGCTCAAAGAGATTGTCGAAGTGTAGGGCTGCAGCGCTGTAGAACGGATCCACCAGGTTCAGCTCGATCGGAGGCTTGGGGGTCACGCCTGTGTTGTCTTGCGTCCAGTAGAGGGGAATGCTTCCTCTGTGCTGTACATAGGACGTGTACTGCGGGCTGGAGAAGAGCCTTGGGCCAGGTGCATGGAAAGACGTGGTAAGAGCCTCTGAAACTATCTGTTCGGTTTCGACATCATTGGCAACGTAACCCTTCGCCGGAGGTCAGTGGCTACTTCTGTGCATCCAAATGGAGGCTGACTTATTATGACGGGTGCTTACCAGATCGTTGGCTCCTCGTTTGAGAAATCTTGCGCCAGCGAAGAAACGGGAACGCCTTGCTATTATCGTGATGTAGGCCGTACGTCCGTAGATCGACAGCGCTGGTTGTTCGTTTCAGTATCGACGCATCACATGAGATTGCCAGTCTGCTTACCAGCTTGGTCAATGTATCCGTGGATGATGGGACGACACCAGTCGAATGGGTCTTTCAGTGCCTTCATCGCCGGCTGCAGTAAGTGACTGTTCCATACGAACATGCCGTTGAAGTCATCCATAGCACCGGGCAACTCTTGGGCAAGAGCCTCTCGCTCCCGGTTCAAGTTGTGCTGTAAAGTACGAGTGACGTCATAGGAGTAGCTGTAATAGAATGACCTCGTCAGATCGAGGTTGTTCAGTATCCCTAGGAAGCGGGACTCCTCTGTGTTTCTAACGTCGGCCTTGAACCGGGTAGGAGTGAGCGGCACCAGCTCTGTACCATCTACTTGATAGATGTAGTGCCCACCAATCATAGCCACTGTACTCTTTTTTGTAATTAGGAGCATGTAGTATGGTCCTGTGAACTTGATGAATCCGAGGAGGCCCCATGTTGTGCACCGAAGCTTGATGCCTCCTGTCCCCTTGTTGCCATCGTCAATAGTGTCCAGGAGCTGGTTCATCTCCTTCTGACTGTAAATAATCTTGTCATCCGTAATGCTCAACTCTGAGTCGTCCGTTGTCCGCTCAATCTTCAGAATCCGATACCGACGTTCCGTCACATCGCCACCAACAATATAGTATCGGGTTGCAGTCTCGTAAAGGCTGAACTTGTGCATTTTGCGATCGAGGCGGTCAAATCCCTTGTCGTCATACGCATAGGCAGTTCGGGCCGCAGAGTCCGGGCTAGACGTTCGGATAAAAGGTTTCGCGACGGCTGGTTCTTCATCCACGTCATCTTCGCCAACTCGGTTTTGTCTCGCAGCATCTGAGGACAGCGCATCCGCTGTTTCATCATTATTGAGTAGTGGGAAGACAGGCGAAGAGTCTCGGTTCCTTTTGCTCTGATCAACATCATTAGGGAATAAGGTTGGCGTATCTGGCTCCATCGGTGCTGAACAAGCGGAGCTTGTAGGTGCGATGGGACAATCTTAGGAGGGAGGGGAAGTTAATCATAAGAGTGTTAACGTTATAAAAGGGCTTATAAGGTTATTAAACTAAGTATATTATAAGCATATTAAATAGGTAACTATATTAATACTTATTAAGAGTATAGTACTTACTTTTTAATAGAAATATAATTAAAATTTATAAAGTATCAATTATAAATTAATTAGTTAATTAATAAAAGCTAGTATTTTTAACTATAAAAGTAATAAACACTTTAAAAGTTAAATATTATTACTAATATATTTTTTACATTAATAGTGTAAATAAAATAGTATACACTTTATAAAATAGCTTTATATATTTAAATAATTAAGCTTATAGCTATAATATGGTTTTTTATAGGGATATTATACTAGTATAAATATAAATATATTTAGAGGTGTAGTATATATTCTTATATAGTATATAGTTATAAATAAGCCTATACCATAATAAAATATAATAATAAAATATAATAATAAAATATAATAATAAAATATAATAATAACATATAATAATAAAATATAATAATAAAATATAATAATAAAATATAATAATAAAATATAATAATAAAATATAATAATAAAATATAATAATAAAATATAATAATAAAATATAATAATCTTTAGTATTTATGGGTATTTAATTATATATATAATAATAAGAGAAAGGATATATTATTAAGTTTATAGTTATAATAAAGCCTTTTATAAAAGAATTATAATAAGATTTACTTTATACACTCTTATTAATAAGTAAACTTTTATATTAAGTTGACTATATATTTTAGCTAAATAAACTAATAGAATAATAATCTTATTAGCTATATAATATAAAGCTAATAAGATTATATATAATAAAGCTAATTATATTAACCCTAAAAAGATTATTAAAACTTTTAGATATTAGCTAATAATAGCTTTAATAAACCTTCTAATAAAGTATTATATATACTGCTATATAAGAAATAACTCTTTAACTAAAGAGGTTATTAAAAGAGTACAACGGTCTAGCTATTTAAGCTAGAAAGGCTTAAAGATA